CCCTTCCTACTCGAGTGGCTCAAGTGATTTCAGGGACAGAAGACGCGACACAGCCAGGGCTCAGGCGCTGTTGCCTGGTCGCATCCATCAGTGGATTCACGGAAAGAGAGCCTCATGTCAAACAGGCAAGGCTATAGGGCTAGCAACTCCCTCAATAGGATTTTCATTTTGTTTTCAAAGAAGCTCCTGGAAGCCGCCAATTGCAACAGCGGCCTTGCGAGACAGCTGACAAGAGCCAGCGGGAGGAAGGGGGTTCAGAGGGGCACGGGCAGGGGCAAGGGGCTCAGCAGCCCCAGGGCGCGGGGGGCAGGACCCCACGCTGATCAACACTGGATTGAATGATCAATCACTCAACACCGGCACCAGTTCCCCTTTGCTGCAGTCATCCTGCATCCGCACCAGATCCAAACAGCTCTCAGATCACATCCAACTTGCTGTCGTTTTGCAGGAGACTAAGGGCCTGTAGTTCTCTCAGATACAGCCAGGAAAATACATCTTTTCTTTCCCTTTCGTCTTTTTAAGCCCATTACATCGCTCCAGGCAGACCTGCCCTAGGAGCCCTTGTGAAGGCTCAGAGAAAGGCAGGGAATGGGATTCACGAATCCCGCTCACACCAGGCACCGATGCAGGGAGCAGCCCGTGGGACGGTCCCACATGGGCAGAAATCAGCCCAAACCCGGTGCTGCCCAGGTTGCCCCCTGCCCTTGAAGGAGCAAAGCAGGGGGCCGAGGCTGACCTGCCCCTTCCTTGCTCTGCACGTGCAGAGGATGAACCCTGGGCCCGGGGCTCCGCTCCGCAGGGAGCACCCTCAGATTAGCTTTAGGAGAGCCCCTGCTAAGGGACTGTCAGCCCGCCACAAAACTGCGCAGGAAGCCAAGGGGAAACAGGGTATTAATCTGTCAAATCCCCAGATGGCTCCTCAGCAGGCTTTTAGCAGCAGGCTGGAGGCTTCCAGCAGGACTGAGACCACGGAGAACTATTGCCCGAGCCCCGCACTACCTCTTGTGCAGGAGCTGCTTTCTGGAGCTCCAGAGCTCCAGGTGCTGCAGGAGCCTCTTCTCAGATACACGCTCTCCTCAGACCCCCCTGCGAGCCCGGGCTCCGATCCCTCCCCTCCAAGGGCGCGAGAATCCTGCCCTTCAGGCTCTTGCGTCTGCATCGGTCTCGGAGGCAGGGACGGAGCGCGATCCGCATAATTACTCTCTCGCTGACAGCAATGAGAGCATCGCAGCATCACGTGGCTGTCAGCCAGGCCCCTGCTGCTAATTCCTGACGTTTCCTGGGCTGACAAACCCCCCAGGGACAGGGGGGACCGATGGGAAAGAGCCGTGCGGAGAAGTCCCAGGGCTGCACAAAGGATCTGCTGGACCAGAAGTGTCTTGTGGCACCTTATAACAAGGTCCTGCAGGCACCAACTTGCAGGGCCAGAATAATCAGCTGCTTCTTGCACACAAGTCGCAAGGAGTGTGACTTGGTGCAGGACAAATTAACCAGGGCCACCACACAAGGTCATTCAGTATCATCTGCTGCTCTGCACTGCACCTGCAACAGGCAGCTTCTAAGACCTATTTAAAGCTCCCATTTCAATTCAGCAATTAATCTCATCGGCTTTTCATTTATTTGCATGCTTCAAAGCTAGGGATATAATCCCTTAATTATTCTCCTGCACTCCTCCTCAACGCAGGGCTTATTTCAAAGCGACGGCAGCGCCGCAGGGCCAGCCAGAAAGGCAGCCCTGGCTGCCCACACGGCTCCTGGGGCCTCAGGGAGGGTGCCCAGCTCTCGGGCAAGCTGCTCATCCCACCACTGTGGCCGATCTGGGACACCCCATAAGGTGACAAGTGACTTGGAAGATGCAGAAGCATTTTACAAGCCTCTACACATTCAAGACAAAATAAGAAAAAACATCTCCAGTTCACTGCTGGGCTAAAGTTCCACAGTATCAGTTAGGTTGGGTTATGTTACTTTTCAGAACCAACCATCAGGAAGCAGAACAGAAGAACAACTCTTCTCCAGGCAAACAAAACAGCACCTGAACCACTTTAATGCAACCGAGAAATTCTCCTGCTCAGCATCACAGGATTCCTCTGCTGCACCAAGAGCCTTAACACTGCCCTTTTTTCTTAAGGTTTTTCCCACTCGCTCTTAAAAATAATTTAAGAAGCTGACGATCCTATGCCTCACCTTGGTTTCCTGCAAGCAACTTCCAGCAAAAGAAGATTCCAAGAACCTCATTATTAGAGGGATCCACTTTTAGGACCCATTTATCACCAGCTCCCTTTGCTTTCACTGCTAGTCAAGGTAAGTTTGAGATAGGACAGGAACACCAACAGATGAGCACGCTGCCTGGGAGGACACGGGACAACAGTGCAGGCATCGGAGACGCCCAGGAATGGATGAGGATACAGGGATACAGGCCAGGTCTGTCCTTGCTCTGTATGTTCTTTGTCCCTTGGGTACTCTTAGCACTGGAATATCCAGAAGTTGGAGAAGAGTTTAGGAATCTGTACGCAAAGCAAGCTGAGCATTATTCTGTTTACAACAGGGTTCTGTTTTGAGGCACGTGGAGCCTGTGCCATGCAGCCACCAACACTTACCTGTGTCATAGTGGACTATGAGGGCTCTGGAATGATCTCCAGTCTCCAGAGGGTGAAACTCCACCGTTACTTGCATGGTGTCACCGATCCCAAGCGTCCCGATGGAGGGATTGACAGAGAAAGGGCTGCAACAGAGACACGCATCAGGACCAGGGCAGGAGGACGTATGCAGATGACTTCTTCTCAAGCTCTGAGATGAGCTCGCTTGGCTCACCTGTGTAAGCAAGGAGCAAATGAAACAGCCACGGAAAGACAGAATATTCAGGATCAAAAGTAGACCTATTAACTCCCACTTAGAAGATCTAGCCCTTGGAGGAGGGGATGGTTTAAAGTAGGCTGATGTCCTGCACCCAGTTCCACCTCCATGCAGTGAGCCTGGAGAGTCAAATTGCCATGCATTCAGTTTTGGTGAGTTTTCAGTTTTCAGACTGGTTTTGAACAGCAAAGAGACCATAGAAGCTACTTGTCTGCCAAAGGTGACAGTCCCTCAAAAGTCTTTCTGATCTTGCAGCCTATAAACCTCACCTCAGATGATACAAATGTCAAGGGAAACCTTGTTCCAATGAGAATAGAGTCATCAGATAAATAAAATCATACTAGAAGACCAGAAAAAATAATTAGTAGTGGTAATACACAGAATTCATTCTTTCTACTTTGAAATCACCTTTGCTTGACCTAAGAAACAGTATGTTTTATCAGCATTTCAACAAAATCTGAATCAGTGCAAGGGTGGATCAGAGCTACTGTGATACCACAGCATGCAGCAAAAAGACAAGCAAAAGGAGCATCCCATTTAGGGCCCAATTTAATAAATTCCTAACTAAATGAAATACTATTACCAGGAGCACATCGTTGCGAGCTTTGCAGAGAGCTTTTCTATGTATTTAGAAAGAGGGACTTTAGATAACAAACCAAAATGGTAAATGTTTTTGGTTGGTCCACCAGACAAGTCCCACGCAGTGGTAGGAAATCACTATGAAAATGTGTTGGCACACCTTGGGTCTACCAGGAATGATTCTGATTTGGGCCCCAGTAAACTGTTCTCAGCCAATAGATATTAAGAGTTGTATTTAACATCTAGGAACAGCTCTCTGGACAAGTCAAATTAGATTTTATAGCGGATTCAGCGGCTTAGTTTGATGGTTCTTGCACAGCCCCCTTTGGAAAGCAGTTGCTGTTTGTTTTGAGTGCTTTGCTGGCAGTCGAGCTGTCACCCTAGAAAGCATGGGCTGGCAAGTTTGGCCATGATTAGGGAGCGTAGCACAAACACAGAGACAGCAGGACAACTAAAGCCGTGAACAGGCTGAACTCTGCTCACAGAAGTAGCGACAGCTGATGAAACCGCTGGCATTTCTGCTCATTAAGGAGATGCTCTGCAATTAGAGGACTGACCTGTTCCTATTACAGCTAGGGAGAGTGTGCTGCCAACTCCAACGGGAGAAGGATTGGGTCCAAATTGTTCACGTACTGCATCATTTTTGTTATGCAGAGGGTGGAAACACAGGCCACTACCAGATTTAGTAGCGAGCTGCCCTGCAGGGTCCTGCATCTGCCGACAGCTCTGCCAGGACATGGCAGGTCCCACTGCTGCCCAGGAGCGCCTGCATTTCCCCAAAGATCCAGCGAGGAAGAGGCCGGCAACGAGGCATCAAGAAGTCACATTGCTCCCCTTGCCCAAAGGGGACAAGTCACTGCATAACAGCCGAGCTATGGGAGCAGGCAACTCCCAATTATCATGAAGGTGTTCTCAGTCACCAAAAAGGACTTATTTTTCAAGGATACCCAAGTTGGCTTTCATCAAAGCATGCCAACAACCTCCTCGATCCCCAAGGGTATTGCCTGCCCGAAAAGATGTGGCTACTAGTATTCCTGGGAAGTCCAGAACAACCCTCCTAGGCTGAGTCCATATGAACCAAACTGAGCCGGTACTGGGATGTAATCACACCCAGCACAGCAAAGGCACCGGAATGATTTCATGCCAAAAAGGCTCCCAGCTGAGAAAAGCTGCCAGGTAAGGAAGAGGATTCCTGACAGTGCTTGCAACACTGCATCCCACCCCTTCACCTTCATAACCCCCTTCTCTGTGTCTACGTACTCCAGCACTGGCTTCAACCAATTGCATAATTAAAACTCTTCCGCATTTACATCCCACTTGCTGCCACACTGGACAAAGACTGTGTTCCCTGAGGATACCAGTCACCGAACACTCCTGACATAATTCAGGAACACACGTGACAAGAACAACTAAAAGTAGCAAATCTATGGCTCAGGCTTTCAAAGCACCATGCCACACTTCCCTACAACTTCACATTTATTAAATGCAGCATGAAAGGAAGATGCAATAACCCTCAAATCTTATGATATATTTAATGTAATATCATCCACCTTTTGCTGTCCCCAAATGAACTTTCTCTTTTCAATGGTGCCTTAATCTTCACCATAGAGTCACTTGAGTTTGGAGAGAATCAACTTGCAGCCTTCTGTGTGATGCTATTGAGAGACCTAGGGAGACCTCCTAACCCAAGAAAGTCTCTAGTGCCAGCCCAAGCACTTCCAAGGAAATGAATTCAGGTTTAGGAGGCTGAGAACTTAGAATACATGAAAACAGAGCACAGAGACTGGATAAAGCAAGAGGCACCTCTGAAACCAGATCTTGGACAGAAAGTTTGGGGCTGAGCAGCTTTACCGGGCCTCCAAATCCATTTTCTATCACTGGCAAGTCCTGGAAAGTTGCTTTGTTTCCCTGAAGCATCTCCCTAATCCAGGTCGAGCACTTTCTTCCTTCACGCCGTGCAGCAGGCACAACTCTCACGGAGCTGAAGCAGCTCGAGGCTCTCCCAGGGAGGACCCTGGTCGCCCCACGGAGGGCCCTGGCCGTCCTGGCCTTGGCGAGGGTGATGAGGACGCTCGCAGAGCATTTTGCTGAACGCAGTGATGCATCAGAGGATCTGATGAGCCTTCTCACAAGAGCTCACAGGTCTCCTTGAGAGAAGAGGAGCAGAGACCTAGACACAAGAACACTCTGCAGCTTCTCCCTAAGCCACTTTCAGAGCATTAGCTCTACAGCCAAGTCCAAGAAGGATGAAGGCTCCAGCTGCAGACTTGTGCCTTCCTGAACTCCTCATCTTTATATGTACAAATGAGAGGCAAGAAACAAAGACAAGAGCAGCACATGAGCGTTATGGGGAAGAACACAGCGGGTTCCCAGCTCTGTCTTGGAGTAATTTCCACACTTTCAGACCTTGATGGGAACGTATCTAAACAGAGGTGCCTGTCTCCAAGGGTTGCTCTCTGGCCCTGCAGTATGGCATAGCACAACACCTGCCGTGTCAAAATAGAGTTAAAAAGGCAGTGCTGCACTTGGATCTGCTTCCAGACACCATTTTCAACTCAAGTGTACTGGAATGACATTTATCTTCCTGAATGTCACGGAGAAGAAACTCATTATCTTGCCTTAACAATGAGGAAGGAGTAAAGAATTTCTATATTTATACTATTATTATTTTTTATTACCAAGCCATGCAATAAGAACTGGGTATGGGCAGGCAGAGCACAAGGAGATGACAAGCCCATGTCAGACGACACCATGGGCTGTTCACCAGTGGTCAAGATGCATCATTCTCTCTCACGGGCACCGTGGCAAAGCTCTGCAGAGGGAAATGCATACGGAAACGCAGGTGGCCCTATGGATTTGCTTGTAGAGTGCTTCCCTGGAGTGAAACGCACACCAGAAAACATTGAAATCCTTCAGAAAATGGCTATTGAGTGAGGAACAGCATCGCCAACTGAGCAGGTCAGAGGGGGCTCTTGGTATTTACCGAGAGGAAGGGTTGGGAGAAGAGGCAGCCTGAAAATGGCCCAGAGGCAAAAGCAGAGAGCTCAGGCTTGATGTCCCAGAAAAAAAGGCAGGGAAAGGACAAAAAGAAGGGTGTTATAAGCAATGCATATATAAACATGCAAGAAAGCTGATATGAGCAATGCATATATATAAAGTAGTGGCATCTACAGCAGACATGTGAATGGGCAGGAACCTGAATTTGTCCAGGCCTGCAAACAGAAGCTGCAGTAACTCCTTCAGTCGTGTTAATGAAGCAAGGTTGCATTTGGGAGCTATGCAGCAGAAATCTGCAAGACAGAGGCAGCTGACAGAGCCCAGCAAACCTCCCTGCTCCCTTGGACTCCACTAATTCCTCTTCTCCTCTCATATCAATGCGTGCTTGTACTATCAACACACAAAGAAGCTACTATACAATATTAATTTAGTCTTTAACACAACACTGCATTCTTACACAGCAAAAGGTAAGCACATATTTAAAAACAACTGTTTATATTCTTTGATGAATAGGAATAGACTAAAGTTCTTTTGAATTGAAGGCTTTAAGCCTGGCACTACTTTCTTCCTCCTTGCATCTTTGCTATAACTCTTGATTATGCATCTCATATTTACACTTTAAGCTCTCCAGGACAGGGAACATAACTCATTCATTTCCAAAGCTCCTGGCACAACTCTAAGTGCTCTGTGATGATAATTAATCATCATCATCGTGTTATTACTGAAGTCATTTATAGGAATTAGTGACACATTAAACCAAATCTTCCCCACCTCTCTTGTTAATAAATGATGCAGCCTCTGTTACACTCCACACCCCGGAAATTAATCCCTAGCATTAGCTGGGAAGACGCTCCCATGGAAGCCTGTGTAGACGTTGGCTCAGAGAGCAGCCAGCTAATGCTGCATTAACCCGCGGAGCCGTGCGCTGCCCTGGGTCTCTAGCCAAGCTGTCAGATCTGCTGGGTGGCCAATTCTCTGCCATCCACGTTGAGAGGCACGGGAACCCCTTGGGAGCTCAGCAGCTCCCCACAGCACATCCCATATGGAATCAGACATGGATCACTGCTAACGGACACAGCAGTCACTAATGCAGCAGCTGGACATGGACTTAGGCCCTGTCAGAGGCACTGTCTGAGGCTGCAGAGAACTGCAAGAGCTGCTACAACAGTGATGGCATTGCAGGATGTTGTCCCCATCGCGGTCTGGAGTGACCACTCCTGGCACAGAGGCCTCCTCACCAAGGACATGATCCTCCAGGCTTCAGCTGCTCCAGGGGACATTCCCATCTGGATAACAGCTGGGAATGCTCAAAAATGGAAGAATGACACCAAACTGGAGGAAGAAGTCACACTGGAAGGGCAGGCCTGCTGCTCCAAAGGACTTTGAGAAAGCTGAAGCAAGATGCTGGCCCACACGATCCCGAGATCTCTTCCAACCAAAGTATCCTATGATTTCATTTCTGACCCTTCTAAACCACTCCAATGCCTTTCCACAAATTCCAACTTTCTATACTTCTGGGTATAGAAGTACATCCCATGAGAAGGTGGAAAGACATTAAAGGAACTTGATTGTTAAAAGCTTCCACTGGAGAATTTTGTGATATTTCCTGCACACTTAAAAGAAAATTGCAGAGCAAACATTTCTGAGTATTTAAAGGAAATCTGAAGGAAAGAGGAGACCACTTCTTAATTGGAAGAAAACATTGCTTATGCTCAAAGATGTAAATCTTCTATTTGAAATTCCAATCTGGATTTCAAAAGTTCATAATGAAGGGGAAGAAATAACAGATTCCCTCAACTTTGACTACAAGGGATATTGCATCAGCTTTTGATCTCTACATATACGATCTGGTTATTCAGAACTCCAAGTTTTTTGTGGAGGTTGAGATTATAAAGCTTGTCTAATGCTTTGCATTTCCTCCCTGCAAATCCGGACTGAAACCTTGGACTGCTGAACTTCGGAAACCATTCCTAAATCTTTATTAAACAGGATTCACTGTATGCTGTATCACTCTGAATAGTCGGTATGTGCATTGAGGAAAAAACATCAGACATTTACTGAGTGTCTAGTGGTTCTTGTGTGTTTGTTTTTCAAAAAACACAAATCCCAGAGAAACGCACACTGATCTACAAGTCCCTGACTATATATTTTCCATAGTGAAAAGAACTTGAAGGCCTTCTCTGATATAAGTAGGAAAGTTTTCTTCTGAGCCCAGTTTTCCCAGAGCTGGCAAGAAGCTAAGACAACTTGGGTGCACCCAGAAAGCAGTGGCACAGACACTGCAGAGAGCCACTTAACTGCTGCAGCTGATATTTATTTCAGGCAGGTACTTACCATCAGGTAGTTGCAAATGAGCTCTTACACAGCATATTTTGGCACTCTCCAGGAAACCTGGGCGAGATAAGGCTCTAGAAGATAAGGCTCCTCCTGTGCATCAGATTTTTGCTGCATCTTTTGCCTGTGCCCTCATTAGTATTCTGCCTCAGAGCTGCAGGGCAGTTGTGAAACACTCACAGCTCCCCTTCTCCTGCAGTCACCTGCTCTGCAGAGCAGCTCTATCACTTGCAGGCTAAACCTCTGGAAGCCCTTTCCACGTGTGCACACGTGTTTCCACTCCTGAGGGCCCAAATCACTCATTCATCCTGAGCTCTTCTTGCAAAGGTTATTTGGTATTTCATATTCAGGCCAGGGGACCAGACCAAGGGCACTGCAAGTACCTTTGCACACAGACCACGGGATACACCAAGTTTTATCCAAGTCTGCATCAGGCTTAGAAGGCAGTAAACGACAGCAAAGACCCACATGTGCTGCCCGTTACCAGCTGCAATAGAGCAGCTCTGGTTCTTTGGTTCCTTGATGTCACTGTGCTGCCACACGGCAGGACGCCAGGGTCCCTCACCTCTGCGTGCTGACGCGGTAGCGAGCCTCTCTGTTGCCGACGTTGCGAACCAGCAGAGTCTTCTGGGTGAGGAACTTCACTGGGCAGACCGAGAAGTTGAGCTGGTCGGGGAAGTCCAGGATGGCTCGGGCCCCGATAGCTCGGATGGGCACAAGAAACTTCTCCCTTTCCGTGATGCAGGTGACCTGGTGGAAGTAATCCTGCGGGGAGAGGAACGGCCTCAGCACAGCGCACCCAGTGCAGCCCCTGGGGCAGCTCGGGAAGACGGTGCTTTGAAAGCTGCTGCTATGGAGTTACAATAATTTCCTGCATCAGGTTTTTGCTCTAGGGACCTGTCCTTCCAGCAACAGGGCCGGGGCAGGCCTGTTACCTTGCCCAGGCAGCAGCATCCCATCAAACCACCCGGGACAACCAACTTCATGCAGCCACAAAATAACCTGAGACTTTGGTTGTGAAGCATCAAAAGAGAATATTTTCATGCATGGGATTACAGCAGCAACATGAATTTGCTTTGATCACTAGATAAGACCATTAAAAACGCAGAGCTCAGCTGTGCCACTCCAGCCCCTGCAACGCAGGGAGATCCGCGTAACTCGGCTGTGGATATTGGGCTCCATCCTGCCCTGCTCTCTGGATGTGCAGGGTAGCGCTGCCACGCTGGCAACCTCATCTCTCTGCTGAAACCAGGGGTCGAGCTGCTGCGATGAGGCCAGGAGCTCTTTCTCCCAGTAGCTTTGTTATTGGCAAATCGATAAAGAAACTGCACCTTATCACTCCCACACGCCATCCTGATCCTTTTTTCTGGGCGCTTAACTCATTCGAGATTGCCTTCAAATAAACTACAGGGATCTGACTCAGAATCGCACGCAGCTGCAGGCAGCCTTGGCCAGAGCCGCGTTTGGATTCCTCTGCACAGGGGGCTCTGCCTGATCGGGGCTGCGTCCTCCGAGCCTGGAGGGGACATTTGGGCAGGGGGGGCACAGACACAGCGGGGGTGACAGGGGGGGCACCCACAGGCTGCTCCCAACACACCGCCTGCCCGGGCTTGGGTCCCTGTTACAGATGCTGTATCCTCCGGGATGCGAAAAGAGAAGAAATCTCTTTTCTAGACCCAGATCTCAAACACTCACCCCAGCAGCTTGCAGAAGAGCTTTAGCTGCTCATACGTGGCAGGATGAAAGATCGGGGCGGGCTGCCGCAGAATCCAATCTCCCGTTTCAGCAGTGCATTTCATCCTCAGCAAGCTGCCCGAATTCGCAATTTTCTACTCAGTCTTGCAGCCTAAACCCTCCGAAATGAAGCTAAGGGCGGCCCACATGAATTTAAAGCACCTGTTATGTCAGTACTTGATGTTTTGGTCTGTTTAGATTTTCCTGAAACTGCATTAGCAAATGAAAAATATATCTTAATTTTTTCTGTCATTTTGGCCACACTAGGATAACACTGGCCCAGCAAATCCAATTGAAGGGTACGTGCCTTATTAAGCCTTGGCAGGCTGTATTTCCTTATCTTGCCCTTCCAGATGCGGCGTAGACAGACGGACACAAGGAGTGCAGATCAATAGGGGGCTAAAGGAGAAGTCTCTACAATTGGAGGCATTCAACAGGAAAAAGGAAATCATTTCCCAAGTCACTGCTAAAGAGCACGAGGATCAACAGCAATGTGCATAGAGTGCCAGAAATCAATTCCTCCCCCAGGTATAAGCCACTCCCGAAGGCAAACACAGGCCACCATCCTGTCCCCACTGCCAGCGTGTGGCTTTGGGACCGTCGTGCAACCTCTCACCATCCAGCTCTGAGGAGCAGGAACTTGCAACTTGGGACCTTCCAAGTGTCCCCTCTGGCATCCGAATTGGCATCCACAGAAACAAGAGCGGCCGCTTGTCCCACGGAGCTGCCGTTTGCAGCAAGCTCTTTGCCAACTCCAACCCACGTTACCATTCCAGCAGCGTCAGCCGAACTGTTCAATATGCCCGGAAACACCGAGGTGTCAGTTTAACTGCATAACTGATGCTAAATACTTCATTAAGTTATTTCCAGCAGGCAACTGCAAAGGAAAAAAAAAAGTCTTCCAGCGTGAGATAATGTAGTAAGGCAAACAGGGAAAGCTTTCTGCTGAAACTGTAACACCCTAAGGGCTGGAAAATAAGGGACATGAGAGAGGAGAGATGCTGGCCTATGAAGACAGCTTCACATGAGAACAGGGTACCCCTTTCCTGGCTTCCCCAGCAAGCAGCTCACAGGATGCCTTGAAACTAGTCACCTGTGCACTTGGGGCAGGGTCGTTTGCCTCCATCTCCTGTCCCCCTGCACGAGTCTCGTCTCAAAAGCGTCCTTGGAACAGCTTCTGCATGCTGCAAAACACCCCTCACTGGGCTGCTCTGAATTTTAAAGCAGCTCATTTCAGTAATGCAATAACTCATTGTCCTGTCGTATTTCATATTAATCAATGAGCATTAATTCAGGCTCCACTGGGCATCAGTAATGAATTTTGCAAACCTTAGTGACTGAACTGATACTGCCCAAGTGCCACTGTCGCAGCCAAAGGAGCAAGGGAAACAGAACTAGGCTGGGCTAGGGCTTTATACCTCTCTTGCTTCCTTTTTCCCTTAAAGATCATCTATTAACAGACCCGCAGAACGCACACAAACACGAGCCATCGTGGCTGCTGATTTGCCAGGCAGCTCTGTGAGCATTTCCAATTAGGCAGCAAGTGTCAGACCGTAACGCGAGGACACCCGGGCCACAGAGCAGCACCGTGTATGTGCAGCAGGAGCAGGAGCAGCAACGGGAACTACCTGGAAACAGTTCCAGCATCTTGTGTTTGGAATGCAAGCGCCTTTCAACAGAGATGTGTCGGCTGTTCATTTACTTACTGACAGCCCAATCATGTGGCACGTTCCCAAATGACTGCAAGACGGTAGGAAACTGTTCGTTTTTTTAAAATAAGGCCCCCACGGCACGCGGGATTTCGACCAGCACCGACTCGCACGTGGCTTTTGTTTTGGGCTTAGCCAGAGCCCAGCTCTGCGCTTCGCTCCCGGGACTCGGAATGGCTTCAGTGAGCCGGGCTTACCCAGGGAAGAGCTGCAAGGGGTTACACAAGCCCACACCGTGAGGGGCTTCTGGCCACGACAGGGAGTTTGTGCCATAATCCAGTCCCTGCAGGTCACATCACACAGGAGAAGCAATGGGGTACTAACGTGGCTGTCCTCATAAGCCTCCCCCGACCAAAGCACATCTCCTCCGCACGCAACCGTGAGCAACCATCGAGCCGTCTCCCACGGGCTGCACCTTGGGGAAAGGGTTTTGCAAGGTGCTCCAGAGAATCCCCAGGGCTCCTCATGGAGCAGAGCCTCTTCCCAACGCACTGCACAACCGCTGGGAGCGGCAAGGACCAAGGAGGCTGCTCAAAGGGAGCTGCTCTTGGGTGTTCTTGGGCCTGAGATGCCCCTCCACGTGGGGAAGCTGCCTCAGGCTAAGCTGAAGGAGGTCTTTGACCACCCAACCTGCTGCAGAAGACCTTGCAACCGGGCACAGCCACACACATTTAGCATTCACTGGGCAAAACAGCAAGATGGGGACGAGAGTTGGATGTTAATCTTCTCCAGGGCGAGAAGAGAGTTGTTTCTCCCTACTTGTTTGGGATGTTCATATGTTGCTCTACTGCCTTTCAACCTGAACAGCAGCACTTTGCCCTTCAGGAGGGCAAACTGACTTCTTCCACTCCCCAAATTAATATTTATTAATTAATACTAATAAATCATATTTTCACAGCACCAGAATATTTTGAAAAGTCTACCTCGATGAGATGAAGCTCATCTCACTTGGGTAGTTTGGAGAACTGCCCTAGGCCAACATAATTTTTTACCCTAAATATTAATGATGTTTAATAATTTCTCAGTCCCTCCAGACGAACAAATTATTCCACAAGCATGGGGAGCTGGGAACCTTGGGGCATTTCCTCTTTAATTCTGCCTTTCCCAACCTCAAACAGCACACTGTGTTAAATAAAATGAAAACCAAGCAGCAAAACGCATTCCCAAAGAGGACTTTCATCTCCATCCTCAGGGTGGTGGCCCAAAGCCATCCCCTAACCTTGCCTCCCCAGCGAGGCACTATGAAGAGCAGCACGTGCCCCTCTTTAGGACCACAGCAGGGCAGATGGTACCTGCTGGCCTTGCCCTGGTGGCTCTTTGAGGCTGATGTCCCTCCCAAGGGCTCCTGCTGGGGAGAGGCCTCGGAGAGCTCCCTGCCCTGCACGGCTCCTCGGGGACGGCACGGGCAATGCACGAGCGAGGCTCCTCGAGGATGGCACAGCTGCAAGCTGTGGGCAAACATGGGCCTGGAGGGAGCCTCTTGGTGCTGGTCAGGGTGAGGCACATGAGCAGCTGCCAGATGGGGAAAGAAAAGCCTGCTCCAGTTCTATTTGTTGCTGGAGTATTTTCCATCACAGTCAAGTCTCTACTGCTGAGGAGAAGCTCAGCTAAATTGTCCTCTCTACAGCCCTCCCTGTCTTTCCCCTACTGCTCTGGCTGCTTCTTCCTTCTCCAAGACCCAACTTCCTCACGGAAAAAAGGCAGAGCCAGCCAGGCCCCTGCAATGACTGATGGCACCAGGTGACAGCACGATGCGACTAGCTCGAGATCTCACAACCACAGGCTGGAGCAGACGTCCTCATGCAGCGCGGGTGTCCCAACACCGCACACCAAACTGATGCCAGTTGGCAAAGGTGGTGACCCTCCCTCAGACATCGTCTGGGTCCTTCAAGTAACAGGGCAAGAATAGACTTTCGTTGCTGTAACGGGCAGAGTAACTCCAACATCTACAGAGGCTCTTTCATGGACAAGGGAGGAATTACCCCCAAAGCCATTGCACTCAATTGCTCCAACACTGAAGGATAAAAGCAGCCTCAAACAGGCAAGAGCCTCAAGCCTACAGAAGATAATCCTCACCACGGAGAAAGCATGCCCCCTGTTCTGGATTCAATGCATCTCCTGAAGTTAGGACAGTTCCTCCAAACCCAAGCCATATCCCCGTTCTGAATCCAGCCCTGTAAGTTCATATTCCATATTTTAGGATTGGTAGTCTCACCTTGTTCTCCTCGGGGGTGAAAAGTATGCGGAAAGTTGAGGGCATGCCAGGTGCTACCTTATGACACACATCATGGGGGCTGATCAACTTGAAATACGGAGAACTCTCCAAGACGACCTTCACCAGCCGAGGAATCTGCAGGAAAGACAAAGTGATCATTATGGAAACGTGGAAACCAAGAAACCATTAGTCCATTCCAAGGAGATATCCTTCTTCCTTAGTCACCTTCCCAAAGCACCATTATCCCTGTAAGGACATGCACACAATACACAAGGATGAACCTGCATCCATCCTGCCCAAGCAAGACAGCTCAAAGCCAGGGGCTACCAGGCAAGGCTCTGCTCCAAGAGAACCTCCATGAGAGGAAACGCACCAGCAGTGTAGCCATGGAGTATCTGAACGTGATCGTGCACTTGCTCAGCAAGCCCAGAACAGCAGATGCAGACGTGCCCCTCGAGGGGGCTGCGTTAGCTGAAGCCAAAGCTGTATTTGTTACATGGGGGCAAGGAGGAAATTTCACTTTTGGTGCCCTGGGGTTGGCGGGGTGGACAAGCTGAGGCGCTCCAGGGACAAACAGACAATGCAAGCAGGAAGAAAACAGACATTGTGGCTTTGCTGGGAATACAAACAAGTTTAATTAAACAAGTTAAGGCAAAACAACAAGCCAGAAAACAGAGGGAAGGAGCTGGCTGAGAGCTCCTGAAGGAGGGTATGCAAAGTGCAGTGGAGAACAACCATGACAGCCCATGAAGGAAAGAGGAGATGAGAGCAGTCAACGTGGCAAAGAGATGGAAAGCCAGGCTGTTACCTCCTACGCCTGGGCTGTGCCTGTTGGTTATGGGCTTGAAGGGCATTTTCTGCTCGGAGACGCACGCCGAGTACTGACTCGCAGCACGGATTTGTTATTTAGAGCCAGGCTCTCCAGAGGCGCAGGGTGATCCCGGGCAGGCAGTGCCAGAGCAGCAAAGCTGCTTCCCGGGTTTCCTCCCAACACCCAGGAACCCCCCAGGCACCTTGTGGCAAGTCCTACCCTTTGGGACACTAAGAAACCCAGAGGAAGCCAACAGCGCTTTGGTGGTACCCAGGTATCAAGTCCCGAGCACCAAATCGCACCTGGGAAAGCCTCAAACAGGCAGTTTTACCTGACAGGCAGCCATTCATTGAGGAACCCACATGAGACCTGGCAGAAAGACCAGGAGATTCAGTCTGCGCCACCCACAGCAGCCTGGCGACCTGCAGCAGTGCTGGAGCCCTGCAAGGAAAGGGCCATCCCACCAAGACCCCCAGCAGAAGCCTCTCAAAACACCCCCAAGAGTGTGATGGGAGCAGCAGCAGCCTCAAGACAGAAAAATAAATTTTCCAACACACAGTAAGAGCAATAAGTATAGACTGAATCACTTCTCTATTTAAATGGTTACACGGTCTCCATCTGGAATACTCTGTGAGCTGGATTTATACAGAGCAGACAAGCTCAGGCTGCTGTGCAAGTATCATCCAAAAGAAATCCGGGAAACCACAGAGTAAAATGGAGTAAAAGAGCACTGTTATGGAGTGTAAGAGCACTGTTTTCTCCAGGACACTACCAAAAGCCTCCAAATTAAAATGCAATAGCCATTCTTGGACTTTCCATCTCTATCTTATGCGCTAACACAACAAGGTTCTTCCTTAGGACTGATCTTGCCTTTACACCAGTGCTGTCCAATGGCTGAGGTCTTACTAGCCCAGGAACTCATTTATTTGTGGGGCTGGAGAGAGATGGACACTTCATCCATTGCCTCCCCCTTGCAGAACATGCGAATCCCAAGGTACAGCTGTACAAGTTTATTATTTGGTACTGGGAATGGCAGAAATCTTGATGCAGATGTTCTTTTCCAGCTGAGGAAGCATAAACAGGACAAATTAACCACTTTCCTGTTGGCTGGTACTGAGCAAAGACAACCGTTTGCAAGTGCTGCAGGGGTAACGGAGTGCCTGAGAGCCAGAGGATTTAGTGGAAAGGGAGCTGCGAAGCAGTAGAGAGACTGAGGCACATTTGGTTGGGAAAGAGGATACCAGCTGACTCTCCCAGCTCACACTGCAGAGCACATGGAAGATATCCCTTGGGAAATCAGACTGCATCTTCTCTATGTGCCCTGCTAAACCCCAGCCACGGAAGGAGCAGTACTCTGAGAATAACAAGAGGGACCACATCTGCATCCTTCCCTGCCAAAGTGTTCTCCATTTTCAACCTCATCCCTGTCAAAACCTCTTATCTCAGGGTGTACTTGATTTCTCGTTTTTCTTCCACCTGCAATATTCCCTGACAACTTTGTCCATCTGCTGATTTTCCCCTGCAGGTAGATTCAGAGGGGGTTGTTTCACCCCCGTCCTGTTCCCTTCCCCCAGTTCCCCTATAGCCCTCTTCTCGTGCATACGTCTTGCATCCAATTACCCATATGCTTGTTCATTACAGAACAGAACCTGATTGCCTCTTACATCCTTCTTGTTTTCCATGCTGACCTTTCTCTGCTTCCATATCCTTATTGCTACATGTCAAGCAAAACCCCTGGGTGCTCAATACCGTCTCCCAGAGCACTTTTTAACTCGGCTCCTTCCCTCCCTCCTGTCTTTTCCCACCAGCTTGCTCTTGGCACATGCCTCATTTGAGCAAATGTTTCCCCCGCTGAAATTCAAAAGGGGGCTCAATTTTCCTCTTAACACTAGAACAAAATTGCTGACATGTTTCAGCCTTTCCCTTCTCAACTTTATAGGGGAATCTCAAAACGATTGCTACGTTATTCATGTACAGGCAGAGGCCTTGAAGAGCACCGTGCTCTGCGAAGCTGTGGCTCTCTACAGAGAGGAGAAAGAGCCACGTGGCCTTCAAGAAGACCCAGCCAGAATGGAATTAAGCGCAGCAGGAACCTAAAGTGTATCCTAAAGACCTCCCAGCGCTTCTGCTACATCAGCCCAATCTCACAGTTGACAAGTCACCTTTTCTTGGGAGGCAGTGACACTAATTCAAGATTATTTTAGCAGAAAAGAATCCCTGTGCATGCCAATACTGAGTGACAAGTGACGGCATACAGAGGCAGCATACAAGCCACCACTGCCAGCTCTCCTCCTGAGCCTTTTTTTTGAGGGGAAAGGTGCTGAACAGGAAAGACCTCTGGCATTCTACCAATGCATAGTAGAAATCAAAGGGAGAATCCCCTCAGCAACATGGAAGGCCCTGGACCCTCTTGCAGAAGCAAGCTGGGGAGGTTTTTGTCCCCGTGTGCTGTGCCACGGGAGCCTGCTGCTCTCCAACGCAGGGCTGGAGCCGCGCGCCGGCGCTCACCTTGTCGTTGTTCCGCAGGATCAGCGGCACCTCGTAGACCTCGCAGGGGACGTAGTTCTGGAACACCACCTCCGAGGGGAAAGGCTGGAACAAGCTCTGCTCGAGGTCCAGTGCTGAGAACTGGAAAGACAGGACACAGCAGTGAGACCAGCTGCTGGAAGGATGATCGGGACTCAGAAACCAGCGAGATGCAGCCTCTTGGTGTCAGCCCTGCCCAGACCACTAAGAAAACTGCAGTTCACTTGTGTTGAGCTGAACAAGAGCTACCAGACCCCATTAAGCAGGCTCAGGCTAAGCAGCAGCTTGGCCAAGCATCTCTGTGGAAAGAGAAGCAGAATTCATCTCAAGCTCAACGCTGTGCTAATGCGGTCGTGCAGCTCCAAAACACTTGCCAGAAAAGCCACAAGTGGCCATGGAGCAACCGAAACACAAGAACATCTTTGCGGTACTGAGAGATAAACCGGGTAAGAGATTTACTCTGAAACTGGTCCCTAATTTTTTGTTCAACATGAAACATGGAGATCAGCTGGCAGAGAACATGACTGCAAGAAGGAAGGCCAAATGCAAGCAACCTATGTCAGAAAAAGGTGAATGCTAGATGTTCAGAAAGTTCTGCTCTTATTTCAGCATTACTGGCCAACTTGAGCCAGACTAGACTTGGCATCTTCTTCCTCCATATGCTTTAAACTGGAGAGAGAAATGTTTTCTTCCATTACAGTTGTTTTATTTAATACTGCTGCAGAAGCCTGTATCAAAATATACACAGGCACACAAAGCACTGGGCTACAGCTCCAGTACAGAAGCTTTAGGCTGAGAAAACTCCTCCTGTGCTTCCTCTTTTCTGGTTGCTGCATTCCCAGGACAAGGACAAGCAGGTCTCCCACGCCAGGGCCCCTGCAAGGCCCAGCTGCACTGAAGCCGGTGGCTGCAGCCCTGGTGGCTACCAGGTACCTGGATGCCTGCCCCTCGCTCCTGGGCTCTCTGCTGCAACGCTAACCAGCTGCAGGCCGTTTTCTGCTCAGCAGCCTGCCTCAGTTTCCCCCTCTGGGCTGAGCAGTCATTCAACAAAAGCAGCTTTAAGCGTTCATCTCACTAAACATCAGTCTGAAGCACAGGCCTTCCCTTCCTCAGGGGCGTATTCCCTGCTACATCCTACAGGGCCCCACAGCCTGCACATCTAACACCCTTCCGTGGCCCCCACGTCCACTTTGAAAAAGCCTTGAGCAATCACCATGTGGCCCACAGCCCTCTTCAAAGGCCCACACTGCCACCAGCAAGAGGGGACCCCAAGCATTTGACAGCGACTACATCAAAGCAAGAGAAGAGGGGGCTACTTCGGAGGAAGCACAGGAGAGCAGCAAGGTAAGTCCTTGTGCTGCCCCATCCTCCCTTCCCAAAACTGTGTGTTAGCAAAACCCACTGATTTCAGCAAAATTTTAAAGATATTTTTAATACCAGCTTAACACAGTCATCCCTTGGGCTTGGTGGCAAGCTGGGAGTTTCGCCTCTCCCCCCAGAACAAGGGGGAAAGGGGGTGCGACAGCCACCACCGCCAGCAGCTTGAAAGGCCAACAGGGCCCGAGCAGCGAGGCAAGAGCGTCACACGTGCCCGCTCCAAATGTCACATCAAACAGCAAGACACAAGGGCAGGGCAAAGCGCTACCTTCTGATGCGACGTCTCGCTCATGTCCAGCAGCTGGATGATGCGGGGCCGCCGCATGTCGCGCGTGGCGGCCAGCCGCTGCTCCGTGCTCAGGGACATCTCCTTCAGGAAGGCAGAGGGCGTGAGCTGCAACGCAAAGCCCGCCACCGTGAGCCGCGCAAAGGCCTGCCTCAGGGAGGGCTTCTTCTTGGTGAAGCGCCACTGATAAATAATTTGTGATCGCAGGCACCAGGATAGTCCTGGAAGTCCTCTAAGTTACCCGATGAAATATTTAACGCCAGTAAATTAATTATATAGAGCAGAACACACACGCTCTAACGGAGTGGCTCCAGCCTATCAGCGTCTCCTTCGTGATTTGATGTGACGTGAATGGAGATTACTGCTCTTTGGGCATTCGCTTCCTCTGGAGGTTGGCTGGATTGAGCTGGTGACCTTTGCGGGGGAGCAGCAGTGTCAGAAATCCCCCAACTCCAGCTTCACACAGCGCTCACAAGGGAGCTGCACGTGGGGACGTGGCTGCCGGGTGAGTCAGAGGAAAGCCAGGGAGGTGGAGAGCAATGGCTCCAAGCGTTAGTCACCTCATTTTAATAAGTGCTCCCTTTCTCTCTGGGGTGGCCCTATGGTTCCCTTTGTAGGGCGCTATCTCCTTGACGAAGGCTTCATGCTGGGTCACCTCCAGTCAAGCGAGCTCCGGTCAAAGGGGACCGGGGGTGACGGGGAGGAGGGACTGCCCCGATTCCATCACTGCTTGCAAGGCTGGATCTGTGCTCAGCACAGCACATGAGAGAGTAAAGTGAGTGGCTTGGAGACCTATCTGGGACCTTGCTCCCTCCATCTCAGGGCAGTTGGAGCAGCCCACCTCACATCCTGCTGCCAAGAGACATGGTCAGAGCAGCACTGGCAGATACATCAACAAGACTGAAGATGCTGCTGCCCACACAGCAGACAGGATGGAATGGAGCCTGTGTTGGTGTTTCAGCTACTCCAGTGCAACATCCAGCACATTAGCTTAATTTGCCTGTGGCTGCCACTAGCGCCAAGACCACGGACTTGACCATGCACACAAGCCATCCCCCATGGCAGTGGGGCAGGCACCTCCATCAGGAACGGGGCAGCGACCAGATGGGGCGGTGATGTCTCGTGCAGTAGTGCTGCTGGACACGAGGGGAAAGGCAGAGCAGGGACATGCTGGGGACTGCCAGCCCTAACAGCTCCTACCAGATAAGACGCAGCAGGTACTTACAGTTACAGGTGTCTCTGCCTCTTTGACCAACTTGGGGTTACGAGGGGCCACCACTTTGCTCTGGAATCCAGGGGGCATCTTGGAGGACGCCACAGACGGATGGAGGTTGCTGGTGGCCATCGCTCAGCTTCCCTGGAATGGGCAGCAAGGGGGACATTTAAAAATCCAGAAGGAAACTCAAGCTGCAGTCTCAGTGCCAGACACGCGCCGAGAATTTCCTCTACACGGCAGCTAGATCATGGTGCAGATCCAACGCTGAGCCACATCGGGAGCGTTTCCCATGCCTTTGGCATGGGAGTATAAGCAGCCCAGAGCCCCCTTTGGATGTCACTTTTGGAGCCTCCTGACCAGACATTTCCCTGGAGCTGGGACAAACTGGCATACGACTCAGTGATGTTACTGTGGACAAAACCTCCATGAGGAGGCACTCATCTCCCCAGGTAAGTTGCCTTGTTCAGAGTTCACCCAAACGCTACCCCGCACTAGTGCGGGCCGAGGGCTGCAGTTTAGAAGAGGGGCCTTTCAGGAGGTTATTTGTACCTCGAGTGTCACCAGGGAGCCCACAGAGGCTGTTACTGACACCAGGCTCCATGCGCACAGCTCTTCTGCGCAGACACAAACCAGCCCCTGCACCAGAGAAGAGCAAAAAGCCAAGGCCAGCGGTACCAGTGGGGCCCTACCAGGGAGGGGAGCACAAGGAGGTATCTGGCTTCACTGATGTGGAAGAGTACAGGCGGATCTGGCACGCTCTTAGCTATCCCCATCAGTAACTGGGCCTGCTCTCCTCTCATCTGTGCTTGTGGCTGGAAAGAAAACCAAGCCCCCGATAGGTTCATACCCTTTGGAAGGCTCCACAGTCCTGACACGGGTGCCCAACAAGGTCCTCTCCCAAAGTGCCCGGTCCGTAGGCACGTGCCATGCACGTCCTCAGCAGCAGCCCACCACAGCAGATAGGTTAACCCCAGCTAGCAGCTCTGGCAAGACACCCTGCTTCTGCCAGCCCAGGATGGAAGGTGCTAGGAAGACCCCTAAACCTGGACAGGAATGGTTGACCAAATCACTGTGACTATCCAAGACTGCCCTTCTTCCTCTTGAAGGGTTTTTGGGTGGGAGCAGAATGCAGACAGCAAATGTCACTCAACCACTTCATTTTGTGCAAAGGAAATTGCTGCCCAAATATGCCCCTGTGCGGGTCCAACGCACTCGGTACGACCAGCAGCCCTGGACCTGGCACTGCTGCAGGTCCAAGGTCCAACAAAACTGGATCACCTTCCTAACTTTATAAGCCAAGTTTGCATCCCTGAGCAAGTGACTCGTGATGCTTGTAACTAACGGAGCATAGGGACTACGAGGGCGATATTCTGACGAGGGACTATAGCTTCCTCAAGGCTAATTTAGTGGTTGTAAGTTGCAAAAATTATTCAGCAAATATAGTTCCTTCCAGGCATGGAACTACTGCAGTGCCCAAGAGCATTTCCCCATGGAAAATCAGGGTCCTAATTTTTGCTTACTAACACCCAAACTCAAGGCTCCCTGAAGGCATCACTGAGGCTATCACAGTAGAAATAAAAGCACGAAACCATTCAGAGGGGAACACAAGCAATTAGCTCAGATATAAATGCAACCTATGTGAAATCAGGGCCTTCTTTAAGCCCTTTTCCCCGTAGTGGTTCTCCAGCATCCTCCTTGGACGAGGGGCTGGCACCCCATCCCTCTGAACACCCTCCTGTCTTCTATTGAGATGTTGCCGAGATGGCATGTGGAAAAGGGCAGGATGAGAGAGGACTCCAGAGCGCGCCTGGAGCAGTGGCAAGACCAAACATAAACGAGCACAGCACTTACTGAGCACCAGTTTGGACTAGATGTTCTTCCCCACCCCCTGAATAACCGGAGCAAGAAAAAGCTGGGTTTGCCCAGTCATTTTCTGAGACTGGAGGGATCACTCATCTCTAGAACCTGACTTGACCACAAATTCTCAAATCCTGGTATCCAGTCAAAAACAGGGGGAAGATTCCCCTCCCTGCTTCCAGCTCCTCCATACTCTTTTCCACAGGGACTTGCTGTACAACAGGTAGAAATACAAGATCCATAGCAGCTGCTCATTCCCTTCCCTTCACATTTTATTCATACCCTCCAAGCAAGGACAGCGGTTCCGACCTTTAGTCCCCAAAACTGCCAGTTGTAGCTTAGTGCCCATTTGGGGTCCAGGGCCCTTTACACTGGTAGGAAAGGACAAAACCAGGACTCAGACCAACTCAAGCAGCACGAGGAGATGGACATAGGAGCCGTTTCCTTTTGCTCCTGGGCAAGGAAACGTAACAGAGCAGAGCACCCTCTTACAGAAACCACAACATGCCACAGCACAGCTTAAAATTTAAAGCTGGAAATATTTTTAAGACAGAAATCTTATAGGCATGGTACAACATTAATCTGGATTTCAGCAGTTTATTACTGGATCTGGAGAATAACTGGATTATTTGTTCCAATTTTCTTACTGTAATTTTGCTTCGCTTGAGATTAATCCTGTTCATCATGCCCCTCTCCACCCCCATCCCTCCACAGCAGCTTCCCAGCCCTCTAGCTCCACATGAGACCTGTTCACAGCCCCAGGGCTCCAGCTTTGCTCCTGCTTCCGAAGGCTGCTCCTCCCTGCTGGGACGGGAAGGAGCAGAACTAAGGAACCAGCTACAGCCCCCTATGGACATGGGGCAAGACAGGACAGACGGCCAGTGCGAGGCAGCAGCTCCAGCACGCGCCGTCGCGAGGGCTTCCCTCCCCGACCCACCTCGCAGCCCTCTGCCCACCCCAGGGGCGCAAGGGCGGGTGGCAGCTTCCCTCCGTGCCGGGCTTGGGCCACGTGCAGCTCCGACAGCCCCGTGCAAGTGCCCCAGGCTGCAGAGGAAGCCGCCACGCACGTGACGGCTCAGGACAGCCAAGGAGACCCCCGCAAGCAGCAAAGGAAACCGCCCGCGTTGCAGCAGAAGCCTCGGGAAGCCCAGGGGCAGCAGAGCACCCCACGCAGAGCAGCGGTAACAGGCAGCCGATCTCCAGCCCTCTCCCCAGAGCTCCCCTTATTCCAACATCTACAGCTTGGCCTCAGCCCTCCAGGAGGTCTAGGAGCCAGCTCAGAGCTGGTACAATCCTCCCACCTTCTGCCCTCGCGTTGGGCTACCTTAGGGCAGGGACCTTGGCCTCCTCCAGGACACTCACTGCGTAGCGGCCACGCTCTTGCCTGCCGAACGCCCACGGGGCCCCAGGCGGCCTGGGGGGACGGGCACAGCAGGGAACTGCTGCCTTGACCACAGTCCCCAGTAACTGACACCGGGCTGCAGCTCCCACGAGCAACGGCGGAACCTGGACGGCAACGGATGGTTCTCGAGCAGAGCTGCCCAGGGCCCTTCTCAACTGCCTGGCCTCCTCAACGGCCTGGCAGCACTGAGCCAGGCAGAACAGCAGCTCTGCACAGAGACAAGGCCCAGGGGGCTCAGGGGAGCAGAGAGGTGGGCTGGCAGAGCTCAGTGGGAGCCCAGGTTGACCAGCGTGTCTGCTGACAAACCTGCCTGCTCTCCAGCGGGGACCCGAGCACTGCGCAATGTGAAAAGCAAGGCTCCCCAACCAGCAAAAACCCCGGGGGTCCGCTACCTTAGCCAGCTTCACAGCAGGGGAACAGATCTCTGGGCCAGCACTTTTGGCTTTGGGGGTGGCTCTTCAGCAGAGGTGTCCTCTGCCCGGGACCTTCCCAGCCAGCCATTGCGATGGCTTCACTCGCTCTCTGCCCCTGGGGTTCAGGACCCCAGTGATCCCGTGGCAGCATTATAGCCTCGTGCATCACTGCAGCCCGTTCCTTAAACACCTCACTCTGCAATGAGGGACTGCAGCAGTACCAGCGAGACCGCCTTCAAGTAGCATTTGCTAATGTTCCCGCAACTTCACATAAATTCACTTAGTTACTGCAGACAAGCTAATCATTTCTTTAAGAAATAATTTCCGCGCTGAGTCACAAAGCAAGGAGCTAATTTCTATTTCGTTCACCCAGGGAGGCCCCCGAGCACATCACTGCGAGAGGCAGAGCTGGCAAACCGCCTGTCACTGCGGCTCCGGCAGCGCCTCGGGGCTGTCCTCGCACCTGGTGACAGCCCCTTCCTTGGGCTGGCTCCAATTAGCTGTGCGCACCCCACACCGGGCAAGGGGAGCCGGCTCCGCAAGAGCCTCTTGGCTGCCAGGGAACTCGTGGCGTTTCCAGCACAGCATATGCTGTAAACAAAAGCTCCTAATGAGACTCCCAGCCACCGGCAAGCCCCGTCACATCTGCTGGGGAGGGAGCAGGGACTCCTCACTCTGAAAAACCAGCAGTCCAGGAGGGTTTGAGTCTTGAAAATAAACTGGGAAAGAGCCAGCTAGCTTGCCAAAACTTGCTGCAAAACCTCTCCTGTGCAGGAGCTGGGCTCCTCACCCAGTCACAAAGCCAAGTGGCAGCTGGCCTTGGACAAGGCACCCTCATCTGCTCAAGAAAGCACCCTGGCATTGCCCTAAGGAGAAGAAACGGCTGCAGTTGTACTGTCCACAACCTCAGGGGCTGACCTTGAGACCAGCAGCAAGATGAGACCCACCAAGCCTCACGCGCTCAGCCTGAGACGCGCTCGCACAGGTCTCACCTCATGCTCCTCCATCTCAGACACACGTGGGAAAGGTCCTCATCCACAGCAAGGTTCCCGTGTTCTCACCTGTGCCAGGCAGAGATCCTGCTCCAAAGCTTAGCCCAGCGCAGAGCCTGGGGTGAAGCCCCAAGGTAGACACTCAAGTTCAGCAGAGCAACATGCGTTGAGAAAGCAAGTGAGGAAAAAAACCCGAGCTAGAGACTAGCATGGGATGCTCTGGAGTGAGAGGAGCCCTGCTCCTTCGACCTGGCAACCTAGGCAACCTTTTCACTCAAGATTCTTCCTTGTGTGATGCAGCAACAGTCCCCAGAGCAGACACCAGCAGGGTCTTCTCCAAAGAGGAAAGGGAAGATTTGTCTCATGGATCAGCTACAACACTTATATTTGCTTCAGATTAGGCAAGCAAGGGTCTGAGCAAGAGCTCCCATCTCCCTGGCGAGACTCTGGCCATGAGCTACCCTA